AGGAATGCAGCCTTTAGTGTAAGGCCTCCAAAGGTCACTTCACCCCAGTAAATGCCTTAAGACAACTGTAGAAGAACCACACGAGGGTGCTGGACAGAATGCAGTGTGCTCACAGCCACAAATAACAGCCTTGGGCTAAGCTCCAGAGAGTAAATGCCCCTCTTCCCAGGGACACGAGCCACAGGTCTTCAGGCCCTCAATGCGTTCTCTACCTGCTCCAAAGAAAGTCACCTGTCAGTGAAACCATCATGTGGGAACAGTTTCAGGGCTTCAAGCGGAGTCATGAATCAAAACGTCACTCCAGGTACTTAAATTCAGTCAGAGTTTTCTACTGACTTTACACTGCAGTGCAAACCCAACCAGCCCTCCCGTGGCACTGCACAGTGGCTACAGACTGCCTTGAAAAGCAACACAGCCCTGGGAAAGAAAGGAGGGAGCCCCAGCACCTGCCTGTCCATCACCAGTGAGGTTAACCTGCCCCTGGTCCCTGCAGCCTGAGATGTGGTACAGGGAAGGAGCATCCCCAGGGCTCCCACCACCTCGCAGGCTGAGCAAACAGCTACAGTTACCTGGTGCTGTCTTCTCCAGTAGCAAAGCCGAGATTGTCAGGACTGGCTTGGTCACCCTCTGGGAATGCTGAGCACTGCTCTGAGGCTAAAAACAAAAACCAGCATTCACTACCAGAGGAGCAACTGGAACAGCAAGTGGATGTTCTGTTATTGGCAGAGCCCACTGTGTGGTACTTCATCCCCAGTATACTGGCACACAATGCACTTGACATTGAGTTAAATTTAAACCCCTGGGGCAGTCCTAAGATACCTCTAAGTCAAGCACAGATATGAACAATGCTGTGATCCTTCCCATGAGCTGTGAGGTTTTAGTGCCTGCTGCAGACACCCAGCAAAGCAGTAAACTCCAATTACAGAGGCAAGTTGTTTGGTCATGCTGCTAATGCAGCGTGAGATGCTTATTCAACCAGAAGCCAACCTCACCCAGAGTCAGCTGTCACCTTACAGCTTTTAATTTGATCAGAAGGTTAAAGCTTTTCAGAGAAAGATGAGATGAGTTTTGGAAACCACTGAAGTGCTCAAAGCACATTCCTGCCAAGGAAGATGCAAATCCATGTCTAAGGCAACAGTTACCTCCCTCCTGAAAGGAGCTGACATACAGCACCAGTCCTGGTGTTCAGGGAGTTCCAAGCCAGAACAGGAGCTCTGGGATTCCCAGCACCTCCCTGGGAGGCTTGCCTAAACTGACTTCTCAGGGCTAGAAAGAGTTCCCCGCTCCTGATCTGCTTATTAGGATCCCAAGAGAGAAGTTCCAAATCTCACTGGCACTTGCTTGAGTATTGATACCCTACAGCAATCTCTGCTCTGGCAGCATCCTGCATGGCAGGAGTGGGAGGTGGGCTCCCCGGTCACTCCTACCTTCACTGGAGGACTGAACCGAGAAGGGCTGGTTAAATCCCTCTGAGGCAGAGGCACCGTCTTCCTGCTCTTCGTTTTCTGTGTCACATTCAATGTCGCTGTCACTGCTCATTCCTGGTAGGAGATGAAGGACATGCTTCTGACATACCCCAGCTGTGAAAAAACCCAGAAAGACCCACAAGCCAAAAATGATGGCAGCAAGACCTATGTGACTGAAGCATTCAGTGTCTTCATATAAGAGCCACCAATATCAAATCCCAAGAGCTGGCAGGAGAACAAGAGAAGGAGCAAATTCAGAGCCAGGTGCATTTACAAAAACACTACGGTACTGAACAGAACAGCTGACACCAGCTTTAGAAATGGCCTCATTCTGCTGTGTGGGACAAGAGGAGCAGTTCCAGCATGTCATCAGCTGAGGCACGCTTGGTTGCCTGCAGCCCCTTCCTGCCTGAGCTGTGCTCCCCTGCCAGCTGCTCTGCTCTGCCCACCTCTGCAACGAGGACAGAAAATCAAAGTTGCTCTCTTTTTTTTTTTCTCCACAGAATCCTAGAATGGTTTGGGTTTGAAAGGACCTTAAAGCTGATCCAGTTCCAACCGCCTGCCACAGGCAGGTACACCTTCCACTAGACCTGGTTTTTAACAGTTTAGAGGTAGCATGACCTATGGAGCAGATGTACCCACCCATCACACCCTTCAAGCAGCAATACTCTGTTCAAGTCTCAGACACAAAAATACCTGCTTTTCCTACAAAAAGAACCACAGCAGTTGATAATCAAGGTGGCTTCTTTTGTTTCGCCAAACCTTGAGTGGGCACTGGCAGAGGCCAACATGCTCCTTTTTGCACAGTTTTGTGGGAGACAGAAGGGGTTTGCTCTGCTCTTATATTTCTTAAGAGCTGATACTCCTTGCTAACAAAAAGCAAGCGAGTTGAGGTACCAGCTCTACCGTAGTTTCTGCTCTGAAAGGAAAAGAAAAAAAAAAAAGTAAAATTTGTTTCCTGGGGTTTTTAACAATGAAGTATTTCAGTTCTTAAAACATTTTCCTATTAGGTTCTCTGCTGTAATAGCAGAGCTGCGGGAGCGCATCACGATCACACTGCAGTGACTAAGAGCAGAAATTCAGTTTTGTCACTGAGAGACCTTCTGTAAATGCCAACTCCTACACAATATTGCACACTGCAGCTAGAGATGGATGCTGGCACCTTAATATAGGCTTTGCGCTACAATTCAGTCATTGAAATTCAAATTAGTGCAGGGGTGGAAGGCAGGAGAGTTTTAGCAAGATAAGAAAAACTCTTCTGTGTGGACTTTCAAAAAGAAAAAAAAAAAAATGCAATAATATTTTTTTCCAGCATGGAAAGGATGCAGGAAGGGAGGGGGAAAAGTTTCCTCCAAGTCTCTAAGGAAACTGGCTTACGTACCACAGCACCCGACACAAATGAAGTGTTGGAGAGATTCTAGTGCGGATGTGGAGGTAGTTACCAACGCGTTGTCCCTGACGGCAGCAGGCTTAAAAGCCAAGGTCACTGAGTGCTATTTTAATTAGATAAGAAATTATTTTCAAGGCCATGCAACTGAACACCAACGCAAAGACCTGGAGCCCTATCAAGAGGTATTAAAAGTAAGTAGGAGTCCAGAGAAATAGATGGCACCATGTAATGGCACCAGGTCTTTGCCTGCTGCACTGTCCCACTGCCATCTCTCCCCAGATAGAGGTGACACTGAGACATCCACTCCTCATTCAGATTCACACTACAGCTGCCAATTGCAAAGGTCAACTGCCACGAAAACACATTTTGCGGTTTGTTGGATGGTTTTTTTCCTCCTCTTTTTCTTTCTCCTTCCAACTATTTCTACTACAGAAATGGATCATCGCAGACTGGTGTGTGGTCACACTACATTTGCCCTCTACAACATTCAATTTACCTTCTTCTGGCCCTGCAGAAGCCCCCTCAGAAAGCACAGCTTGTAGGTCACCCATGTCAGAACTGTTTTCCAGACCACCTGATTGGACTCCTTCTGTACGACACCCTTTAGAAGTTGACCTTAAGCGGGAATTGAGAAGTAGAAAAACTCATGTTAGAGATTCAGCTTTAATCCTTCTAGTCCCACTTCTAGTTTTACTTAAGTCTCTTGCATACCCACTTAAGCTTCCAGCTTGGACTGATTCAGAAATATTTAACATCTTCAAAAAAATAAACCTGGAAAAGTTTATGAGTATTTTCCAAAAATGGTGACTCCAGCTATTTAGAAAAAATAACCCAAGTACTCCCATAGCACTTTGCTTAGTCAGCCAATAGGGGAGTTGTTACAAAATTGCTCAAAAACCAGAGTCACAGTGAAAATTACTGTCTTAAATGAGGAAATCATGTGTTAAGTTTCAGTTAGAGGATATTTTGCAAGGAATAGAGGTAATACAGATGGGCCTGCCTTCCCAATTCAAGTGTCAGACTGCATCCACAGCTGATCAAAATAAAAAAAAAACAAACCAAACCTAAAATGGAAAAGAAGAGATGACTTGTAACCTAGTTATTAAACTATAAATTGATATCCAGAGGGAACAGCAGCAACCAAATAAACTTCAAAGTAATTTCTCTTCCACGCTACAAGCACCTGGGTTTAGTGATTGGTGTCTTTTTTCTTAGATCAGGGAAAGGCGGGGAAGGAGAAGATAAGAGGAAAAGAGAATAAACCCCTTACCCTAGAGCACCAACTTTCCTGGCCTTCTCTCCAGCAGCTAAGCCATTTAAGCCAGACACTCCCACATCGGAATCTGAGCCATCACAAGGCCTCTCCTCTGTCTTCGGCAGTGACTCAGGGACACTGCTGTTAGCCAGGGCCCTGGCAGAGTGGTGCCGACCACTCAACTTGGAGCTCCCTACGCCACCTGAGAAAAGAGGAAGAAGAACTCTGGGCATGTTGAGCCTTATTTCAAGAGACTAAGCACCCAGCTGTTTCACAGCACCTGCTTGGTTCCAAACGTGTGTAAGCACAAGCACACCTGCCCCACCCTCGTGCTTAAAACTTCACAGTTTCAAGTCAATGTACGGGCAACAAAAACTGTCTGGTATATCCACTCTCTTGACACACAGAGCTTTTGTTTCAGCTGCCATTTCTGATGGGAGACTAATTACAGACTATTCCTTCCCCACCTTGTGTAGTTAAAACTTATCTTCTATTTACCTTCCAGTAACAGATACACTCCTCACTGTCATTCTCCCCAGCTATCAATATGAAGTTGCCTGGCCTCAGCCCTTCGAGCCTTGGACAAGGGTGAAGCTGCGTGCAGAGGTTATAGTTACACCATCTAATGACTCTGCAGCATTTTCCAGTTTCCCACCCAAGCCTTCTGTATCCATTTAGCATTTTAAGACAACAACTTTGATACTCCATTCCTTCTCAGAACACTTAAAAGGCACAAAACACAATTCCTGTGTTAGGTGTTTCATTACCACTCAAGGAAGGGCACCTTAAAACTCAAGAAGCCACAGTATCAAAATTCTTTCTCACATGTCCCTGGGGTTTTCTTGAATTCCCTTTAAGGCAAATAACAATTTAAACACAGGTCAGTACTTTCTGATCTATGATTCTCACTATAAAGTTAGTTCCTGAAACATCTCCAGAGATCAGAAGTAACGTGTAACACAGATATTTTACGTTCTGCATGTCATCTGCGTGGTTCTCCTTCACAGATCAGCTACCAAACGTACTTCATCATTAACTACATTTGAGAAAGGATCCAGCCAAGTCTCAGGGAAACATCAGCTGCCAAGTAAGACTTCTTGAAAAGCTTTTGTTTATGAGATGCTGAGATGCCCCCATCACACAAAGATGTTTACCTTCAGAAGTTTGAGTGTCTCCCTTTAAGCGAAGATTGCTGTCCACACAGTCCATAGCTCTCCGTAAAGACAGGCTGCCTGCTGCTCCAGAGCGAATAGTTTTGGGTGAGTTACTTTTCTTACTTGCAGCTGCAAAAACATTTTAAGATGTGACAAGTGTTCAGTCAAACTGCTGCAGCACTCTGTCTTTCTGCTTGTTTTAAGTGAAGCTCCATTTTAGTCTCTATGCTCATTAACTCCCAGTCCTGCACAAAACTCCTTCCTTACCCTTCCTGTCAAAGATGTGAGCTAGAGGGAAGCTTAGCTAGCTACAGATGTGGCCAAGACTACACAAAGTAATGTTCACCTGCCTTACACCAAGATGCCCTTCAGGAAGCTACTATCCAGATTCCTTCAACCATCATGATGAAAATATAAAGGATTAAGGGGAACCCAAACCACCCCTTCAGCTCTTAAATTCAAAGTCCAGTGTAACAAAGGACCTTGAAAGCAAGAGTGAGAGACAGGTTAAGGGACTCTCACAGTTTACCACTTCACAAACAAAGCATTCTTGGAGCATGTGATAGTGTGGATCCTGCCACAGAAACTCCTCCAGGTAGAGGAATGGAGCAGTGCTAAATGGAACAGCAAACCCAAGTTCTGCTGTCACTGCACCCCATGGAGGTGGGGGATCCAGGATTCAGTGCAAACCAGAAGATTGCTCCTGTTTCACAGAGCACCACAAGCCTGTTCCTCTCCTCCTACCTGGTGCCTCAGTAACCTTTGAGGGATGAGGCATTTGCTAAGGAAAGAGATGGCATTAAAAACCACACAACGAACAAAAGCTAGTACTTCAGTGAAGTGGGTTGAGCCCTCCATATCTCAATGATGGCACAGTTCAGGGCTGCAAACTAACTTTCTCTTTCAGAGAAGAAATTCTCTGCTCTGTGGGACTGATGAAATACAGAACAGACCTTTGCTGGAGTTGCAAAAGCCCTGTTTTGCAGGTCAGTACTGAAAGCGATGGAGAGAAATAGAACTGTTCTACCAGTTCTTTAGTCTGCTCATGTGAATAATGTATTTCTTACTCATCTTGGGTCCAAAATGATTCAAGTAATAACTTGAATCAAAACTCAGAAGGCTGCAAAATCATCTCTCCCAGGCAACAGGGAAGTGAGAGAAAATTAACAGCTAGTGCTTTTATTCAGGATCATAAGCAGCAGAGTATTTGCACAGCCTTCATGCTGGCATCCTAAAAATTCCACGCTGGCTTACCAAGCTCCACCACCAGGACCTGAACAGACAGGGCCCTCTCTGAAAGAGGTCACCTGTCAAGAGGCAAAGCCTCTCCCAGGGGAGCCTTGGCTCACTTGGATTTCAGCAAGATTTCAAGTTACTGAAGTATTACAAACCTGGAAAGTTTTTTTAATTTTGCTCACTGGCAAGCATCAGGAAACATCCTCAAGTTCATAGATGGGCCAGACACAGAGTAGCAGTCAACCTGAAATGACCTTCAGGTAGGATCAGTTTGATACTGGATTAAACTTCAGAACATTCTCACTGCATTAGGTGTGTTACTGGTTGTGGAGCAAAAGTTCTGGTGCTTTTACCAAGAAAGGCTGAAACCTTCAGTAACATTTACTGACTCAAAGGCAGTGCAGGTTCTAGGCTTCTGTACTCTTGCAGCTGAACTTGAGCATGAGTACCTGTAAGTCTGTTTCAGATGCCTGATATATAAAACCACCACCTATACAACCAACGTTGTAAGGGTGACACGTAACGCACTTACAATTCCTTATGTAACAACTGGTAACTGAAGACTTCGTCAGTAGCTCCATTCCTATTTCTTGCAGCTTGCTGCAGCTTTCCGTTCCGCAGGCAGCTAAAGCGCCTTGCTCAATGGAGAAGAAGCTGGGCTGCCCATCACATGAGCCAGTGTTGCTGCTTCTCACTTCTGACAGCTGGTTTTTCACATCAGACATTTTGCTTCGAACTTCAGCCATCTGCGTTTTGAGCCTTTTCAGCATCTTCAAGTCGGGGGGCACGCGCCACATCGCCTGATGTCTCCGCTGGTCTCGATCTTTTAGAGAATAGGATGATGCTTTACCAAAGAAAAGTTAACACAACAGGTAAGTGTAACTGTTCTCAACTAAACACAGACATCTC